GTCCCCCCATGTCCCCCCCGCTGTCCCCCGCCCCACCTCGGGCCGCACGGGGTCCTCGATGCCCACGATGGCGATGCAGGTGAGCTCCCCGACCACGGCGGCCTCGTCGTCCCAGGGGGGCTCGGGCCGGGGGGGGAAATCGCGGAAGGCGAGGGCGAGGGTCCGCAGCCCCCCCGCCGCCATCGGCTCCACCACGCGCCGCACCAGCTCCTCCCGCTCCGAGCCCCCCAGCGCCCGCGGGGCGCCCCCCGCGTCCAGCATCGAGCTGCACCTGGGGGACAGGTGACGGTCAGGGGAGGGGGCTCAGGGGTCAGGGAAGGGGGCTATGGGACCCCCCCCATGTCCAGCATCGAGCTGCACCTGGGGGACAGGTGAGGGTCAGGGGAGGGGGCTCAGGGACCCCCCCGCGTCCAGCATTGAGCTGCACCTGGGGGACAGGTGAGGCAGGGGGGCTCAGGGGTCAGGGGAGGGGGTTATGGGACTCCCCCCACCGTGTCCAGCATCGAGGTACACCTGGGGGGACAGCTGAGGCAGGGGAGGGGGCTCAGGGGAGTCCCAGGTGGGTCAGGGGGTCCCCCTGGGTCTAGGATGGAGCTAGTCCCCCTCAGGCCAGCGCTCATGGTCCTGCCTGCCCAGGTGCTCCCAGGTGTGCCCAGGTGTGCCCCAGGTGCCCCCAGGTGTGCCCAGGTGCCCCCAGGTGCCCCCAGGTGCCCCCAGGTGTGTGCCCCCCCTCACCTGCGCAGCACCATCTCGGAGGCGCCCTCGCAGAGCAGCCGGTACCCATGGCCCTGCCTGCCCAGGTGTGCACAGGTGTGTGCCCAGGTGTGCCCAGGTGCCCCCAGGTGCCCCCAGGTGTGCCTCCCCTGCGCAGCACCATCCCGGAGGCGCCCTTGCAGAGCAGCCGGTAGCCGCCCCCGGGCCGGCGCGTCACCGTGCTCATGGACTTGCGCTCCGAGTTGAAGGTGAACACCTTGACCAGGTGCTCCTCGGGCACCTGCGCCCGCTCGGCCTCGGGGTCGCGGCCCAGCGCCAGCGCCAGCCCCAGCAGGGCACACTCGGTCTTGTTGCCCACGTGGCGGGGCAGAGCCCCGGGGGCTTCGGGGGGCTGCAAAGGGCGCGTGGGGCAGGTAAGTTATAATCACAGAATGTCCCCATTTCTCTTTCTAGCCATTTTTGTGTCTTGCCATCTTCTCCCTCTGATTCCATTTACTACAGTTTGAAACCTTCTCTAATTTGAACCTTGATAATCCCCCAAGTCTACCCCTCAGGCTCCAGAAACTCCCACTGTCCTTCATCATTTTCTGGGGGGGAAAGGAGGGAATTTGGGGAAAAATGGGGGGAAATGGGGGAAAAGGGGGGGAAATGGGGGGAAATAGGGGGAAAATGGGAGCAGGTTGTTGTCCTTCATAATTTTCTGGGGGGGGGAATAATGGGAATTTGGGAAAAAAGTGAGGGCGAAAATGGGAGGAAAAAAGAAAAATGGCAATGGAGGGACAAAGGGACATTGAAGGACAAAGGGACACGGAGGGACAGATGGACATGGAGGGACAGATGGACAGGGATGGACAAAGTGACATGGAAGGACAAAGGGACATGGAGGGACACATGGACACGGATGGACAGATGGACACGAAGGGACAAAGGGACACAGACGGACAGATGGACAGGGAGGGACACATGGACATGGAGGGACAGATGGACAGGGAGGGACAAAGGGACACGGACGGACAGATGGACAGGGAGGGACAAAGGGACACGGACGGACAGATGGACAGGGAGGGACAAAGGGACACGGATGGACAGATGGACAGGGATGGACAAAGGGACACGGAGGGACAAAGGGACACGGATGGACAAAGGGACACGGATGGACAAAGGGACACGGAGGGACAGATGGACACGGAGGGACAAAGGGACACGGACGGACAGATGGACAGGGAGGGACAAAGGGACACGGATGGACAGATGGACAGGGATGGACAAAGGGACACGGAGGGACAGATGGACACGGAGGGACAAAGGGACACGGA